CAAATGTTTACTGAAATCCCAATATGAGCCTGACATTGTGTGTGCATGGTGCTAGGAATTGTGTTGGTAAACAAGATGGACACAGTCCCTGCCTTCACATTGCTTACCATCCAGTGGTCAGAATGTGGTAAATGTATGTTGACCTCTGTAGCTCTTTTGCCCTTCACTTTTCTTGGCTCTGAAGAAGGGAATGTAATTACTCTGAATCCAGAAAGAGGTTGTAAAATTTGGAGTCTTACATACTCTGTCTTCCTAAGATTTCATCTGGGTAGATTTCACCAGGACCAAGTGGGATGATGTATGTGAAAGCGTATCATAAACTACTGGGTGTCCATGTGTTGCTGTTTATTGATACTATTACTGAAAGGGGAAACCTTACTTGGAAGGGCAGTCAGTTCTTGTCAGCCTGCTAGGCATATCCTGCTTGGGAGAGTCTCAGGCATACTATGGAAATGTGAACAGCAATGTCAAAGAAAGATGGGCTCCACAAAAAAGTCGGGGAATTAGTTCTGTATGGAATGACTGTTTACAAGCAAGCAACTAGGACTGAAGATCTTAATCTCGGTTTATACGTTGTTAAACATTTAGTAAGATTTTAAAGCCATAGCTCAAAAGGCTGTGTGTCTTTTTGAGACTAAACCTACAGTCTTACAGTCTTCTGTCCTAATGAAAAATATCCATCTATATATATTTTCTTCAATTCAAGTAGAAAATGTCACTTTTTTTTTTTCAAAGTTTAGAGTAAGTATAGAATCTGAATGAGAACCCCTGTGGCAAGTAAAAGTCAAGTCATTTAAAGAAACACGTTGTGTATTCCTCTCCTGAAATATCACAGAACTCTAGGGCTACCGAGGTAGACAAACAGTGATTTTATTTCTCAAAACACTGGTAGACTGTGGGCAATCAGGTAAGAATTCAATTGTATTAGAAAGGTAAACATTAAATGCTTTAGATAAATAGAGCAGTTATTTCCAGCAGTTACAGATTAGGAAAAATTTTGTGAAGAAAGTTGGATCTTAGAGGTATTTCAAACAGAGAAATGTGTCATTACAGGCAGAGAGGGAGGAGTGTGAAAAGGAGTACCAAAAAGAATTATCAAGTGGTGATGGTTATACAACATTGTGAATGTGCTAAATGTTACTAATGGTAAATTTTATATTATGTGTGTTCTACCACAATTTTAAAAAAAGTTATCAAAATAATGGATATTAGATTAACTTTAAAGTATTTTCACATAAGTTGATATGTGATTCTCTTAACAACCACACCAGACATGTACTAATGCCATTTTACAGATAAATAAATTTAGTCTCTAAGAGGCCAGAAAGCTTGCCTAAGATCCAGTAGCTAGTAACTATTACCTTAGATCTTCAGCCCCCTGTTGCCTTCCTGTGATACCCCACTGCCAAATCATGGCCAGCCTTAAATGTCATGCTAAAGTGGCTGGACCATTCTGCATCTGATAGAGAACCATTGACTTGGAACAGAGGAGTGTCTTGAACATAACCCCACTTGAGCAAGATTTATAGGCATTATGTGTGATCACATCAATAAATATGAACTGTTGTAAATGCTGCAATGGGAAAGTACAGGGTACCATTTAAGAGTATACAGGGGCGCCTGATTTGGTCTCTGGGGTTCAGGGAAGGCCTTTCTGAGGAAGTGACATTTAAGATGAGACTTATAGGATGAATAGGATTTATCCATGGAAAGGTAGGAGAATGAGTTCCAGAAAATGGAAATAGCCTTTTGAAATCCCTGAGGTGAGAGAGCTTGGTGGTCTTGACTGAAAGAAGGTCACTGTACTTGGGGTTATAGGAGCAAGAGAGAGACAGGAGGAGGAGACTAGAGAGGGATGCAGGCCAGATCTTCAGACTCTTCCTTGAAGTTTTTTAATATTAGCTGAAATCAGTAGGAAGCCACTGGGTTTTAAAGAGGGGGTGACACCACGTTTCTGTTGTAGAAATGTGGCGTAATTGATCTTTCTGACTGCTGCTCTGTGGAGACTGTATTGGACACAAACAGGAAGTAGGGAGACCATTAGGAGGCTGTTGCAGTACTTACGGCAAGAAATGGCGATGACCTCCACAAGGGGGTGGCAGTGGGGGTTAGAGAAATGAACAGATGCCAAAATATATATAGACAGTATGCTCTTCCAGGCAGGATTAGAGTTGATTGTAGGCGAGTCCCTTGAGGATTGAGAGTCTCACTAAATATGCCAAGTGGAGTACCTTAAGGGCAGAGAGGCAGCCAATTTATTCCAGACAATATCCAGATAACGCCTATGCACTGTAAGGATTTGTGTGGGTTTCTGAGTGATGGTTACGGTAGTAAACCAAGAAAACCCCCCAGACATAGGCCTTGCCTAGAACCTTACCCCAGGACAGAGTGGCTCATTCCAGTCAACTGGGCTGGGATCCTGAGTCATGAAAAATGGTTAAAAGCTTAGCAGGTGGTACTGTTAAGGGAAAAGAAGTATGACTTCTTCAGCTTTCTGCTGGTCCACCTTGGCTATTTCCCACTCAATAGAACAGTGAGGTTGAGGTTTGACAGTATGTTTAATAGTTTTTTCACTGCATTGCCAGCAGGAGAAACATTCTCTTTTTGATAAAAAATAGAAAGATAGAAGCAATAGAGGTTTTATTTTTAATGAAATATTTCAGATATATAAGAATAGATATAATATAGTGAACACTCACATACCCACCATCTGGCTCTGTCAGACCTTAATATCATGTCCTATTTGTTTAGTTGCTTCATTTCTTAAAAAGTTTATTGATAAACACAGTTAAAGCCCCCTGTGTACCATTCATCTTTCTCCTTGGAGATTACTGTAAGGAATTTAATGTTTTCACTCTTGTGTGTATTTTTGTATTTTTACATTATATTATGTCTGCATAAACAATATGAAGTATTATTTTACAAAGTTTAATTTTAAATTAGATATGTTATTGAGATCATTTCTGCACCTGTTTATTTCACATAGCTTTGGTTTTGAGATTTTATTATCTTGACCCACATTTCTAATTTATCCATTTCATTTGCTACATTGTATTCTATTATGTAAAAAATGATCTATTCTCTTAATGAAACATTTAGGGTTTGCAGTTTCTTTTGCTGTTACGAATAGTGCTGGAATAAAGATATTTTCCTTGTGTATATAAGTGAAAATTTCCCTTAAAGATTTATTTCCAAATTCTTCTCTAAAGGGCTTGAACTGGTGCACATCACTACCATCCTCCCAATATTGCGTACAGGTTTCTATCTCTTTCATATTCTTGCTTTGTTTTTTTTTTTAACATTGATCCTGTATATGACAACATTGCTGAACTCTAGTCTGAAAGTGTCTATGTCTTTTGGAGTTTCTATATAGACAAATAACCTATAAATAGAGACAGAAATAACCTGTACATAGAAACATCCATAAAAACTTAAACTTTCTCTAAGCAACAGTTGTCACTAATTTTGTACTAATTTGTGTACTCAGTGCCTTCTCTCTGGATTTACTTGTTGAAAATCACCCTTTACTGTTTATTTAATGAGGATCCATAGGTGGCAAATTCTCCCTTTGTTTGAACACTTCTTTATTTTAATCTTCATGATTTATTTATCTTTTCACCTATTTAAAATGTATCTATTATTGGTGATCTGTGGCTTCACTATGCTCTATCCAAGTATAGATATATATATATATATATATGTATTTTTTTAATTTTTTGTTGAAGAATAGTTCATTTACAATGCTGTGTTAGTTTCTGGTGTACAGCAAAGTGATTCTTTTTCATATTCTCTTTTATTACTCAGACTTTTAATCTGAAGACTGATGCATTTTTATTCTAGAAAACTCTCAGCCATTATTCCACAGCTTCTAGGACATTCTTTTCATTTACTTCTCTATCTCTTAGGTCTTTTCTTCGTTTGGGAGGAGTTCTCTAGGAGTTAACCTCTATTCATTAATTCTCTTTGATTATATCCAATCTAAAGTTTATCCCCTCTATAGTTTATTTCAAATATTATTTTTGCTTTCAGGATTTCTAATTATTTTATTCCATATCTACCTGATTTCATTTCTGTTATTTTGTAATTTTTTGTTCTTTTTAGTGGATATGATATTTTTTTCTCTTGAACATTTTTGTCTGATTGTTCTTTAAAAGGTTACCTGAAGTGAATTCATGTACTAATTATTGTCATATACCGAATTTCTACATATATGTCAGACTGTTTCTGAACTCACTATCCATTTTCCTCATGTTTTGGAATTTGTAAAGCCCTTTTGACTGGGAGGTAGTTTTTGTCTGTGTATCATGCCCTTTTCCTCCTCTTTGCTCCCTGCTTCTCTGCTCATTCCTCCTGTCTTCGAGGAAGTCTTCTAACCCAGCTCAGCCCAAGCGAACACAGCCCCGGGCTTCAGGTCACCCCTTCCTGCATGGAGCACTTTCATTGTTACATGTTTGAAGCAAAGCGATGATTAAAGCAGGAATTCACTGACTAGATATGACCCAAAAGCCTGTGAAGAGTAGGTTTTTGTATTACAGTGTGAAGAGTGGATAATTGGTTTTACTTCATGGAGGACTTCAGGTCCAGTTTATGGGAGGCTACTGTTGTGGGGCTTTGTTTTATACCTTTTCGCTTCGCCTCCAGAGATTTCTCCTAAGACTCTGCTTGCTCTTGTATCTATATTTTGTTCATTCACTTCCCCCATGTGATATTGTTATACCATTCTACTCTATCTCTGCTCCATCAGGAAATTTAGTTCAAGCATGATGTAGCTTACAGATTTTTGACAGTTTAAAAAATTTGGTTAGTGAAAGGTAAAGAACGAGCACAACTCAGGTGTGTCCCTTTGCTGCACCCTTGCCCCTTCCTGGAAATTTGGACGGGCCTACCTTGCAGTCATAGACAGGGTCACACTACTTTCAGTCTTACAGGTCATGGAAAGGATGAGGACTTTGGAGAGCCTCAGTAACCCAGGAGCTCCAGCTCCTGAAAAGATTGTTCTGTGCTCATTCACATCTTTATTTGCTCATCTTGGTTTGTTCTGCTTTTCCTTCCAGGATTTCCATTATACAGACATCATCTTGCAAGGGTTTCTATTCCCTTCCTCTTCCACTCTTTATATGGTGCCCATAGAATCTGAAATAGAAGGGAAATGACAGTCAGCCTTCTGGACCCTGTAGTTTCATCAAAACTCTCTGATGCCAGATCTGGAGGTTACAAAAGGACTACTTTTAGTAGGTACTCACCTGCTAAGTCCCAACCCCTACCAAGCATTACCTAGTCTTATAAACTGGGAAAGTAACCCTTAATAGAAGTAAGGTTCTTTGAACCAGTCTTAATTTTATAAACAAGATTTATCATCATGATTTTTCTTTTAAATGCAGTACAGCAAACTTTGGGATCAATGTTGCTATCACATTGCACTCAAACTAAAATATTCTCAGTGCCAAATATACACTTTTGCCTTTTCTCTCTTTAGAACCAGTAATTCTGTGATTTCAGATGTATGTGACTACAATCTTTTAAATGTAACCATATGGGGATTAAAGGGCTGGACTGAAGAAAAATGTCTTTATAAAACTTTATAGTCTTGGAAAGCTCTGATTTTGGTGAGCTTTATTAGAAGGAGAAAATAAAATGTGCTTATTTCTAAAAATTATATTCTGAACCCAACTTCCTAGTATACAGTTCTAAATTTTGAAGTGTAAGAGCTAGAACATTAAAGCTTCTGGATGGTATCATGGTAGAACATCTTCATGACCTTGGAGTATATTTCTCAGGACATGAAATAAACACTAACAACAAACTACTGGTAAAGTGGACTTTATTAAAATTAAAAACTTAGGTTCAACAAAGGACACTGCTAAGAAAATAAATATACAAGTTACAGACTGAGAGAAAACATTTGCAACGTGTATACCTGACATAGACTTGTATCCATAATATACCTTGAATCTTTATAACTCAGTAATAAAAAGACAAACATCCCCATAAAAAAGAGCTAAAGACTTGAACAGATGCTTTAGAAGGTAGAGGAATGGCCAATAAATTAGCACATTGAAAGAGTGCTCAACATCACTAATAATCAGTGGAATGCAGATTTAAACCATGATGAGATACTAAGTCCAATTCTAGGTATTTTTGCTTCAAATAAAATGAAAACATAGGCCCACAAAAAGACTTGTACAACAACGTGCATAATGCTGTATTTACGTGAGTCCAAAACTGGAAACACCCCAAGGATCCATCATGTGAATAAACACCTTATGGTAATTATGGTATAGCCAAACCATTAGGGATAGTTACAGAATATAATATACATACATACATACATATACCAGCAAGTAAAAGGAGTGAACTACTGAAAAATACAGCAAAATGGATGAGTCTTTAAAACATGTTGAGAAGCCAGACACAAGAATCTATAAATTTTATGATTCCATTTATATAATATTCTAGATTAGGCAAAGCTAATATATGATAATAGAAACCAGATTAACCAATGATTGCTTTGTTAGTGATTAACTAACTAGGAAGGGTCATAAGGGAACTTTCTGGGATGATAGAAATATTCTCTATCTTGATGGGGTATAGGTTACATGGGTTATATAGATTGTCAAACTGATCTAACTGTATACTTAAATCTGTATAACAAAGTCTTCGTAGAAGATCTATTCAGAATGAAAGTTTAAATAAGAAGTATTGGAAGAAAATACCCTACTTATATCTGAAAAGCATTTGAATATATAAAGAACTCTACAAATCAATAATAAAAAGACAAACATATTTAAGGATGGGCATGTATAGAAAGCTGGTTGGATTTTATTTTCAAACATGATATAAACACATAGGGCCGGGCATGGGGAGGGGTATAGCTCAAGTGGCAGAATGCATGTCTAGCATGCACAAGGTTCTGGGTTCAAATGCTAGTACCTCCATCCCACCCCTCCCTAAAAAAAACCTAATTACCTCCACCCCAAAAAATAAATAAATAAACACATAGGGCCAGTTTATTGTCTTTTCTTTAAATTATGTATGTTTGGGTTTCAGATTGCCATTCGCTCTGGATTCTGTTTAGGGAAACTGAAGGTCTTAGGGATAAGCATACTTCCTAGAGGCAGCCCTCCCCTTTTACTAGACCAGGTGGCTTCCCCCACCACCCCTACCTCTGTGTCCTTATTTGAGAGAATCCTGGTTCCTTGTGCCAGAAGCCTAGCCAGCCTGTGAAGAAAAGTTGGTCTTGTGGTTATCCTCTGCGACTGGCTTATTTGTTAGGTTTTCTGAACTTTATTTCAGTGGTATGTAATGGATAAACCAATGGTCCCTACTGGATTTTTGAAGACTCAGACTCACACGTTGTTGGTCTTTGTGCATCAGCCTGATAGGAAGGAGCCCACTCCTGAGCTGGAGACCATGTGGTTGAAGATGAACCTTTTGTGTATGTGTAAGAATGATTATTAGGGATACTTCTTACAGACTTGTACATGAGGACAGCTTGCATCACACTTTTCTTATTCACCCTCTTAAAGGTCAGAATGTACTTAGTGAGAAATTTTCAGCTTCCCATTGTCAGGAAATAGAACTTGGTAGTTACTGAACCTCTTGTATTTTGTAGCCAAACAAGTACATACAGCTAGTCCTCACACACAGTTGTGGGAAAGTGCTGATGACTCATTAGCATACCTGGATAAGGTTTCATCTCTGAACGTTAGGAGCTAGAAGTAGAAGACATTTCTTGCTCTATGTACCCTACACTCCTGTGTGCTCAGAAGGCCAGTTAGAGTTCTTATATACCTCAAGGACTACATGTCTGTGTCATAAGCATATGAGGGTAGAAATCACTGCAACTCTCTTTGGTTGTTGGGTGGGGGAATTCTTGAGTTCTTAAATTGTGTCCCTGTGTCCATGTCATATAGTCTGTGTCAGGCCTTGTAATACTCCCTGGCCCTTGTGGATTTCTTGGATTTTTTTTTTTGTTTTTTTCCTTCCTCACCTTTCTCACTTGACATTATCAGTCCTTGATTGTGGATCTCTGAATCTCTTCCCAAGGAAACAGAAATCATCTTCCATCACTGTTGATAAGGTTGTCTTTTTATACCCCTTTAAAAATCTTGCAGTGGCTTTAAAATCAATTTTTAAACCTGCCACCAAAAACTCTAACGTTTAAAAAACAACAACAACAAAGAAAAGAAAGAAAAGAAAGACTTACCAGTAACATTGTTTCCCTCAATCTCATCAGGAATACTTTTAAATGCAGAAAAGTTAGAAAATGGTGAATAATTATGGCAGTTCCTGGAAGGTACTGCGTTCCTTAGTAATTACATGTTGTACTCTTTGGTTCTGCTTCCTTGACAGTTCCATCGAACTGTGAATGAGTGTCTTGAATTTAATGAAATTCAGTCCTTGCAGAAAACTGCTGTTGTGTCACAGATTCAGCAGCAAAGCTGTGACGCTGATGTGGGAATAGCGATGTTTGTACCTTTTGTGTTGACAAGTTAGTTTAGGGACTTGCCAGGTGGGCTTTTCTTAAGAATATAAACCTTTTACAGAGAGAAAGCCAGAGGCTTTCTTAGAATCAGACAGCAGCCAGTTATGCTTGCCAGGAAAATGGGACAGCATGAGTTTCTATCAGGTAAATGCCTTGCTTACTTTAAGCTCAAGTTTGTTCTCTTTGGTTCAGAGCTCTGAATTTGGATATTCAGTCTGTTTTTACTCCACCATCCCTAAGCAGTTCACCTCTGGGGCTGGGTCTTTGCAGGGTGAGAAAGACTGGCAGAAATATGAGACCGCTCGGAGGCTGAAGAAGTGTGTGGACAAGATCCGGAACCAGTATCGAGAAGACTGGAAGTCCAAAGAGATGAAAGTCCGGCAAAGAGCCGTAGCCCTATACTTCATCGACAAGGTGAGAGCATCTTCCCATCACATCGCCTGCTGTGTTCAGCTTAATGAAGATGTAGGGAGCATCTACTCCTCCAAGGCCTGTGCTGTCTGTATTGCTGGAGAGGCAGTGATAGCCCAGTCACCCATGGTCCTGCCCACCCAACCTCTAGTCCCGTAAGGGAGGTAGAATTGGAGAGATGTTCAGTGTCTGCTGCTGTCTCAGTAGTCTGCCTAATGGGAGGGTTTTCAAGAATCTCGATGTGCCAGAAATGCTGTGACAGTTTCAAACTTTCTGATTATGAGCCACCCCCAAAATTTTATTTTGCATCACAACCCACCACACATATATTTGTACTTCTGTGAACTGAAACAAAAGTTGCAGAAAACAATGCTCAGCCTTTTCTATGAGTAGTGAATTCTGATTTTTTTTTTTACTGTTTCTTGTTTTTAAAAGGATGGTTATAAACCCTTAAAATTGGCTAAACAGTCTGTCAGTGTATCACAACTAATTGCACTTATATTTATTTTAACAGAAGTTCTGAATTGTTTCAAAAATTAAGCAAAATTAAGACTAGCTTTTTGAGTCCGATTGCCCAGAATTTTAAAAAATATTCTTTCCTCCATCCCCATGAGAGAGGACAGAGTAAAGAGAAGCTTAGATTTCTGGGAAAGTTTAATCTCCCTTGATTCACCATACTTCATTTTATAGGGGAAGAAGCAACAGTGCAGATCCAGAATTGTCAGACCTTTGCAGACTGATGCTCTTTCCCCCAAGAGAATTGGGAGGCTTCTGATTTTTGGTTTCCTAGAGATCCTGTGAGATGAAAGTTTCTTCATTCATGCTCATCTTCTCCCCCACTTTCTCTCCTTGCTGGGCAGCTTGCTCTGAGAGCAGGTAATGAGAAGGAGGAAGGCGAAACAGCGGACACTGTGGGTTGCTGCTCGCTTCGTGTGGAACACATCAATCTGCACCCAGAGTTGGATGGTCAGGAATACGTGGTAGAGTTTGACTTCCTTGGGAAGGACTCAATCAGATACTATAACAAAGTCCCTGTTGAGAAACGAGTAAGTTAATGTGGCTTAAACCTCGCCTGTTTTTCATTTATTCATTCAGCAAGCATTTGAGTGCTTTTTGTGTGCTCTGCGCTTTGCTGAACATGAGAAAAAAATGACTTGAAAGAGAAAGGAGAGGTATTGTTTGGTGTCCTGTGCACCTCTTTTTAGTCCCTGCCCCACACCTCCCTACCCCGTGCTACCTTACTGGGAATGAGGGGCCATCTCCTGTAGCAGTATGCAACAGAGCATGCTGTAGAGTTATCTCTCATAACAAACTCAATGTAAGATTTATCCCATCAAGTTGTTTTAATGATTTAACCACTTAGTATCCTGTGGTCCTGTTGCACATTTGTCTCTTGGTCGCTTTGTTCAATCTTTTCCAACTCCTGATTCAGCAGAAAGGTAGCCCTTGAGTCCCTGGATCTCTGAGCCCATAGCTCAAGAAGGTACTGCAGCTCCAAGTTCCCCCAGAGACCTGCAGAGTGCTAGCCCCTCCGCAGTCTGATGTTTCATCAGTACTTAGTTTTGCTGGGTATGGAAAATGCTCCAGATTAAACAAAGTTAAAGAGATCTGACGGTTAAGTGTAATATCTGAGCTTAGATTGGATTCCACATTGGGAAGGATAAAGGACATCATTGAGTCAATTGACAAAATTGGAATATGGACAACAGATTGGATAAAAGTATGTTGATGTAAATTTATGAAGCTATTCTGTGTATTTAAGGGACTATCTCTCCTCTTAAAAAAATACACTGAAATATCCAAGGGTAAAGGGCCATAATATATGCAAGTTCCCAGAAATGGTTCAGAATAATTGTTTATGTACACATGTAGATGTAGAAAGGAAGGGAGCATACATGTGCACTGCCCAAGTAGAAAACAAGATAAAATGTTAATGGTAGGTGAATCTGGGTAAAGGATGTGGGTGTTTTTTTGTGCTCTATGGGATTTGTTTCTTTTTTTTCTTTTTGCAAGTTTCTTTAAAGTTGCAGTTATTTCCAGTGGTTTCAAAAATAATTAGGCTCTGTTTATTTCTTTTAGGTTTTTAAGAACTTACAACTATTTATGGAGAACAAACAGCCTGAGGATGATCTCTTTGATAGACTCAATGTGAGTGGACTGGGTTGAAGAGGGGCCTAGCCAGAGCCTCACAAGCTCCTAAAGGAGAGGTTTGCCTGGGGGTGCCTGGGGCTCTTCCCTCAGCCTGTCCTGTGGCACCCTGTGCACCCTTCCTCCCTCAAGCATGCAGCAAACCCACGGCCAACGCCCTGGGATGGGTGGGCAAACCCTGTTACTCTCTTCTGGCTCCTGCAGAGCCTTTCCTTGGCTGGATGTCCAGCCACCTCTGTTAGAGACCCAGGACCTGTCCCTGATATCTTACTAGGGGGGATCTTCACAGGGAAGGATACATTTGCTCTATTGGCCTGCTGAAGATTGAAGTGCTTAGGGAGGCATCATGTGACCTGCATTCTGGAATTTTTTCCTCTTTTCCTAACTTCCCACTGGCGGAGCAGTAAACTTGGCAAGATTGTGATTGCACTGGCATAAATATCTGAGAGTTTGACAGAGAGGCCAGAGTAGTATGGCTTTCAGCTAACTCCCAGCATCTTTTGTTACTTTGTCTTCTCCAGACTGGTATTCTAAATAAGCATCTCCAGGATCTCATGGAGGGCTTGACAGCCAAGGTGTTCCGTACATACAACGCTTCCATCACGCTACAGCAACAGCTAAAAGAACTCACAGCTCGTAAGTACTGCTTGGCCAGACAGGGCCCACGGCCTTACTGATGACATGCTCCACTTCTTCTCAACAGTGTGACTGGAAACGTTTTCCTCTAATACAGGGCTAAGACTCAGTTGTATAAACATAAGATCAGTGCTGTTTCCCTCATTCTTATGCAGCTTCTGAGTTAGTTTTATGGAATGCTGACAGAGACTTTTATCTGCTCTGAAAATGCCTGCATTTTGTGTTTTATTTTATATCTACGTTATTTAACAGAATGAAGACAGTACTGTGATGTTCTGTTAAATTGGAGAGAGTAAGGTTGTCATAGTTACTTAAAAAATGCATAGGACCAAGTCCTTTCCTTAAGGTTTCTGTCCCATCCCCCTTCCCACCAAGAAGAGTACATAGTATTCTCCTAAAAATCAGTTGCAGAAGGTATTACCAAGATCCCCAGCTTTTTCCTCTAGAGCCTAGTTACTGCTGAGTTTCTGCTGTCTTCCAGAGTATGTCAAATGGTACTAGAAAATGAGCCCAAGAAGCCAAACATGGGTGTGTGGAGAGTCAGTATTTTAGGATAGGATAAAGAATGCTGTATGACACAAGCAACACTGAGGCAAGCAGATAATTCTGTTGACTCTCAGATTTTGACCTTGTACCTTGGGGTGACTTGAGTTGATCATCTGAGTGAGAGGAAACCCAGGAAAATCATGAAGATGAAGCACTGGGGAAGGCACAGGTGTTCTCTCTTGTTATACAAATGGACTCTGTTCTTACCATGTTTCTTTCTTTACAGCTGATGAGAACATCCCAGCAAAGATCCTATCTTATAACCGTGCCAACCGAGCTGTTGCAATTCTTTGTAACCATCAGAGGGCACCACCAAAAACTTTTGAGAAGTCCATGATGAACTTGCAATCTAAGGTATCTTGGATCCGAATAGTGGGGTAGCAAAATGAAGAGAATTATATCTGCTATGGCCTTTTATACTTCACTCTTCTGGGCTGGGACATCAGATAGCCAGTTCTGGATCTGTTCTGGAAAAAAGGTTTATGCTAAAAATAAATACATGGAAATACGATGGTAGGTCACTGATCAAGACACTGCATATCAGGTACCCATTACTCAGGAAGTCTGTATTCTGTGGACAGAAGTTCTACATTGGCCAATTCCTATTTTGGAAAGCTAAGTTTGATGTGCTCTTTGAAACACTAATTATTGTCCTCATACATGAGGCTAATGGAAATAATGGAAATAAAGACAGTCTTCACAATTCCTTTTCACAGCCCAGAAATGTAGCTATTTCCAAATCAGATTATTTCAAATTGAGAAGATGATGAAACAGTATTTAACTTTCCCCCAATCCTAGCACAACTATTTTTATTTTTACACATTCCACATGAATCATATTTTTATATAGCTCATCATCAAACATCTGTTGAATACTGGCTGTGTGCAAGGGCTGCTGCCCTAGAGGGAGAGACTGACATGCAAACAACTAGATGTCGTTCCTCTTCCATGTGCCTCCTTCCTCCGATTCTGCCCAGGGCTGAGCTTTTAAGCTGCAAGGCACTTAACATTTGATGATAGCATTTCTGTGTTAGCAATGACACCGTAACTAACCCATTTTAATGTACTAACCCACCATGAGAATTAGCAGATACTTTACTGTAAAGCAGATACATGAGTTACAATTTTCTTGAAATATACTTGCCTAAAAATCTGATACAGATATGCTTTCTTATTGATTTACTAAGTAAGATCCTAGGTGGGTTTAATAGTTACTGCTGAGTGTCAGGATAGTAATGACTATAAATGATAACTTCAACTTCTGCAACAGTTGTAATATATGAAAATACACATACTGTCCATTAGTGACAGTCATTGGTACTACTGATATTACTATGGTTGTTGCCCACATTCATAACTGAAAAAGAAATGAGTTTCAACTAAAGGTTAATTAAATTACAGATTGATCCCCCCCCCCCACGTTCATAAAATTCTATAGTTGGATAACTGGAGTTTTAAAAGTACTGCTGTAGAGTGAGACTGCGTCACATTTTCAGACCCTGGGTGTTTTCCAAGAAATTGAAACTTCTTCCAGATAAGTACCCAGGTGTAGTACATCTGGGTCAAAAGACACACACACAACTACAGCCCATGCTACAGATGCCATCTGGCCTTCCTGAAGAGATGTACACATCCACAATAAGTAAGTATGTGTCCACAGACGTCTCAAATCCTTGGACCATGTGATTGGCAGGCAAGGAACTGTACAGACTGCCCATCCTAGCAACTTCCATTTGCTGCCACTCTGTTAAATCGCAATCATCTGGTACCGTTTACTATCCTCATGCTATCGTTCCAAGCCAGAAATAAAAGCATGGATATTCAGGTGGTGTTTACCTAATTCAGGAGACCCCTCCCTGGAGCATGAGGAGGTCTTTTGTTGGTCTCACTCTGGAACCACTGTTTGGGCCGCCCAGGCTGCCTGCCAGACTAGCCCTCTAAGCCCAGGAACCCTCTCCTGTGTGCCCACAGAGCAAACACACGCCCCTGTTTGCCAAGTGAATCAATGGAGTCTTTGATGCTTTGCGAGAATTTGACATAGCCTGCCAATTTAGCATTCACAGAAATGGTTAAAAGGTTGTGGTTTGTTGCATTTTTAGCCTAAGAAGAATCTGGCTAGTGGTGTCTGTGATGCTTTTGTGTATAGAATCAGTTCCTTCAGCTTAACTTTGGACAACATAGATGTTGGAAGTAAGCCATTCATAGTAAAATGCATTTAATGATTCTCTCACAATGGTGGCCTCTGTTTCCAATCTTAGGCTGTGGGTGTAAATCTGACAGACAATTCTAGGCTGAGAGCAACAGCCCAGTGTGTGTGAGTCAGGCATGTATTTACTCTGCAGAGGTTCCCTTGACCTCACAGGTTAGCAAGGTGACAGCAGGTCAGGGGTTCTGCCCCCAGCAGCATGAGCTTACTGCTTTGGGCTCTAGCTCCATAGTGTTGCCTGCTGCTGTCCTTAAGCGGGAACTAAAACAATGTAGAACTGGTTCTATCAAGGAAGAAACTGTCGTCTCTTCCTTTATAGACTGGGTCTCCATGAGATTTTGTTTGGAGAAAGAGCTCCACAGCTTAAAAAAAAAAGTTTTCGAATCTGTTTTTGAGTGATAGCTATTTTAATTTCCTTCCTGTCTCAGCTTTCTCTTCTTTAAAAAAGCAGAATGCCAAAGCCAAGCCATGCCATGTATTGGCTTGGAACAGACTAAGCTGAGCTGTTTGGCCTCCTGGACACCTTCTAAGTGCCATTTTCTAGTCTCTTGGATATTCCCTTCACTGCATCCTTTTTTGAGATGTTGGCAGCTCCTGCCCAGAGTGCTAGTAGAGTCTAAGGAATCAGCTGGGCTCAGTATATGCAAGGGACCTTGTCTCAGCTTCTAAAGAGTATCTCCTGCAGGATTCTTGGAATGGAGGCTACAACCTGGTACAAGATCCATTTGATCAATAGCTCTCATCTGTAGCCCTCCTCCCAGTATCAAAAACCAAAGTGTTCTCTGATTGAAAGATTAGCACTCACATTCCCAGCCCCAGTGGGTTCTCTTCCCTGAGCTTCTGGGTTAATGGAACCCTGTGTCCCTGCTGATAAAATCCTCATTTCTTGAAGGGTGACTGAAGAAGATAAATGACCAAGTAGCATTTGAACTCAGCACCCACGGCGCATCTACTCTGTGCCTTCATGAAGCCACCCCCAGGTGTTTTAACCTGGCAAACCACCATGATTGACAGCCTGCTGGTGGAGGCAGCATCTAGGTTTCATCTTCTCTTGGGGAGCCCTTCTTTTCCTTCCCTGGGCTTATTTTATTCCTAAATTTTACTGTTGTTCTTCCCTACCCAGATTGATGCCAAGAAGGAACAGCTAGCAGATGCCCGGAGAGACCTGAAAAGTGCTAAGGCTGATGCTAAGGTCCTGAAGGATGCAAAGACCAAGAAGTATGTGTCTCGTGTGGTGTGAAGCTCAGGGTTGGTTGAGAAGAGAGATGGGTGCAGTATCAGCCAGGGGCCCTGGCTTTTCTAGGGTTTCTGAGTGATCTCTTTTAGAAATCTTTGTACCTGGGACTTTTCTGCTTTTACTGCGCCTACGTGGCAGCATGGGGTTGCAGTGCTCTTGTCCAGAGGCCAGGCCTGGTTCTTGATGACTCCCTTTCTTCCAGGGTGGTAGAGTCAAAGAAGAAGGCTGTGCAGAGACTGGAGGAGCAGTTGATGAAGCTTGAAGTTCAGGCCACAGACCGAGAGGAAAACAAACAAATCGCTTTGGGAACCTCCAAACTCAATTATCTGGACCCGAGGATCACCGTGGCTTGGTAGGCACCATGCCTTTGAATTCCAGCTGCTGGCTTGAGAAAGGTGGTGGGGATTCCAAAAGCATTGTTAGCACTCATGTGCCATTCCTGCGCTGCACACTTTCAGTCCTCTGGGAAACCTCCACCTTCTGCTGCATGCACTACAAATGCATTGGAACATCCTGGATGGTCCTAAATGGTCAATACTGTTAGACCACCTTTGAGTGTGTTTATGTCTGTTAAGGCAGACACAGTCCCTGCCCCTTTTGGAACTTCAGGTCAGAGTGGAGACTCTTAGTCCTTCCTTGTTGAAGGAAAAATATAAAAGAGCTCATCTATCTACACTTTTCAATTTTTCAATAAAATTTTTTTTACAAGGAAAAAAAGTAGGAATAAGGAGAGAAGAAAAACAAAAATGAGAATACAGATCTGAGCAACCTACAGAGTTTGTTCTGCTGTTGGCTTGCTTCCCTGCACTGCCCCTTCCCCACACACCGCATAAAATAAATCCAAAATAAATGGCTTTTTTTGAAGATGCTTATTAGTTACCTTGAATTGTTAAGTTCTGGACCTAGGAAGAGCAGTCATTCCCTATGGCCCTGCTCCTCCTCTGGGCCAGGGATTCCACCCAGCTCTTGTATCCTTTCTATTCTTTTTGCCCTGTTTGGTGCTGCAGGTGTGGTTAGCTTGAGAAGCAATATAGTGCAGTGGTTAAGAGCATGGACTCTGGAGTCAGACTGCTCGGGTTCAGTGGTCAGCTCCGTCCTCATTAGCTGCATGGGAATGTGAGCAAATTACCTAACCCCTCTGCCTTTGTTTTTCTTCTGTACCTTTTTCATTTGTACATCTGTAATAGTACCTACTTTAGAGGTCTTTGTCAAGATTAAATGAGTGTAGCACATGAAGCTCTTAGAAGTGTCTGGTACATTATTAATTCTCAATTCTCATCAGATGGATGTGAAGGAGAAGGGAGTACATCCAAACCCCAGCCGCAGGGTCTGTCTCTTTGTCCCTGAAACACACTAACCCCTCATCTTTCTCCCTTGTTTGCAGGTGCAAGAAATGGGGGGTCCCAATTGAGAAAATTTACAACAAAACCCAGCGGGAGAAGTTTGCCTGGGCCATCGACATGGCTGACGAGGACTACGAGTTCTAGCCAGTCTCGAAGGGCAGGATTCTGTGAAAAGGAACAGTGTGGTTTGGGGAAGATGGGATAAACTGTGAGCCTCGCTTGCCCTCTCACCTGAGGGAAAGAGGCAGCAAGTCTTAACAAACCAACATCTTTGAGAAAAGATAAACCTGGAGATATTATAAGGGAGAGCTGAGCCAGTTGTCCTATGGACAACTTATTTAAAAATATTTCAGATATCAAAATTCTAGCTGTATGATTTGTTTTGAATTTTTGTTTTTATTTTCAAGGGGTCAAGTGGATGGGAATTTGTCAAGAGTTCTGCCAGGCAAATTCACTGTTTCACTGAAGCATTTGGATTCTCTTAGCTACTGTATACGAAGTCCGATTATATTGGTGCGTTTTTACAGTTAGGGTTTTGCAATAACTTCTATATTTTAATAGAAATGAATTCCTAAACTCCCCTCTCCCCCATTTCAGGACTTTAAAATTAAGTAGAACAAAAACCCAGCGCACCTGTTAGAGTTGTCACTATCTATTGTCATGGGAATCAATTTTCATTAAACTTGAAGCAGTCGTGATATCGGCAGTGTTTTGGTTCAGACACCTGTTCACAGAAAAGCATGATGGGAAAATATTTCCTGACTTGAGTGTTCCTTTTTAAATGTGAATTTTTATTTCTTTTTAATTATTTTAAAATATTTAAACCTTTTTCTTGATCTTAAAGATCATGTAGATTGGGGCTGGGGAGGGATGAGGGGTGAGCGAGTCTAAGGATAATGAAATAATCAGTGACTGAAACCATTTTCCCATCATCCTTTGTTCTGAGCATTCTCTGTGCCCTTTCAGATACCCATCTTTTTCATTTAAAACCCCAGTCTTTCACTTGAAAGACTTTATTGTATAAAAAGTTCCACAGGTCAATAAATTTAAAGGAAAATGAGTATTTGGTCCAAAAAAAGGAGAAATAATGAAGATTTTAGGGCTTTTATTTTTTCTTTTGTAATTGTGTAAAAAATGGAAAAAAACACATAAAAAGCAGAATTTTAATGTGAAGACATTTTTTGCTATAATCATTAGTTTTAGAGGCATTGTTAGTTTAGCGTGTGTGCAGAGTCCATTTCCCACATCTTTCCTCAAGTATCTTCTATTTTTATCATGAATTCCCTTTTAATCAACTGTAGGTTATTTAAAATAAATTCCTACAACTTAACGGAAACTTCGCGTCTGCCTCTTCGTAACCCAGGGCCCCAGGCCAGAGTGAGGCTTTGGGGCTGGGACTTGGTGAGGGATGTGGTCTGCCTGCTCCTGTCAGCAAGGGTGCCTCCCTCCCCAGGAGCTAGGGACCAGGCCTTGAAGGGGCTGCATCTGTTGTGCCGACGTGGGTTTGGGTCAAAGAGGGAGTAAGCCAAAGTCCACATCCTTAGATAAAGGCAGGCCCAGGAAGTGAGGGCGGGTACAGAATACCTACAAGAACAGGTGGGGTGCAAGAAGTATATTTGGAGCATAGGGTGGGTTTATTGAGCAAGATGGAGCAAGTGTATTTGAGTGACAGATCCTGGAACACACTTCATGTGTGCTGGCCAGAAGCAGTGGGGAACTTCTTTTGGGTTTGCTTATGTGGCTCAGCTTTCAGTCAGGATGGCAGGAATTAAGGGTGCTAAGCCAACTAGAACACTGGATCCCAGAAGCTCTCTCGCAGATGGAATGCAGTCTTCTTGTGTTGACTGAGACGAGGAGTAGTTTGTGACCACTTTCCAGGGCTCTAGCATCCAAGCTGGCTAGGGTCCCTACAAAAATTGTTAGTCCTTTCATCTTAGATTACAGCTAAGTCTGGAATTCAGGTTGAAGGATGAGGTCTCCTGGGCAAATGGAGCAGGGAGTAGGAAGGCCAAAGGGGTCAGAACTGGTCACTTGGCTAGCCCTTGCGAGCACACACAGGTGTTTTCGGGGGGGGGCTCCATCTGCCCTGATGGGCTCTGAGCTCTGGGGGCTGGGCTGGGCCCACTGCAGAGAGTCCTAGAGGGGCCTTCCTGGCAGCCTGCATTCAGTAGTCGGGGAGGGAGGCAGCATTCACCCAGGGAATGAAAGGTTATGCAGCCATTACTGCTTTGGAGCAAGAGACCACAGCCCGGTATTGTTGAGTTCTGTGGTGCTGAGGTGGTAGACGGCTGAAGGTAGGGATAGCAGCAGACATGCTAGTCCAGTGCCCAATCAATACACTTCAGCAGGACCTGCCTCAACCAGGGGACCCACCTTGGACCACAACTAAAACTCAGGGACAGGAGACCTTGCAGGCAGATTTTACTGATGAGCAGGAAATTGTGCCTACCTTTTCCAGCAAGAAACTTTTTTCTTCTGAGGGCAGGTGCAGAGCAACTAGACGCTGGTCAAGACTAGTTGTGAAGGACATCCTGGGTGGTAGCAGCAAGCCTGGAAAGCAAGCGAGAGAATGGGAAGCTGGGATGAGGAAGAGGCCAGACAGGTAGGTGAGGACCAGGTGTGAAGGGCCCTGGAGGGAGGATGCTTGAGCATGGAGTCAGGAGGCCCACCCCTTGCTTGTTCATCAGGCTTTCCTCCTCCCACTTGCAGCCACTTGCAGCCATGTCCAGGAGCAGAGGCCATATGCGCAGGATCTGACAGACTCCCTCCGGTCAAGCCCTTCCTGGGATGCTGGAGTCCAGCTGTGGGCAAAGGTGGGGGATAGCTTCCACGTGCTACCCCAGCCAGACATCTGGGTGTTTGCTTGGCCACTCGCTCCCCCACCTCCCACGTCTGGTCAGCAGGTCCTGTCCTCCCTGTCAAGGCTAACTCAGGCCTCTGCCACATTTAAGAAAAAAAAAGAAACCTCCAAACTCCCAGCCTTCTCTAGCCCCTCCCTATTTCACAAACAAGCACCTGGAATGAGTCATCTCCACCACCCAGTCATTCCCCCACCTACTGCAACTAGCTTCTGCCCCATCTTCCTCCAGTTCCCCTCCCCACTCTGACCACAACCACCAGTGAATGAGTGGCCAAACCACTAAGTGGGCTCTGCTTCTGCACCTTACTTAAGCTCTCTATGGCACCAGACACTTGACTGCTCCTTTTTTAAAACGACTCTACTAGTATATTTTACATATCATAAGACCCACCCATTTCAAGTGGACAATGATTTTTGGCAACTTTACTGAATGGTGCAGCCATCACCATAAATCAGTTTTAGAACTTCACCCCGACGCTGTAAGATCCTGCATGCCCACATAAAGTTAACCCCCGTTCCCACTTCCAGCCTCCACTAATCTACTTTCCCTATAGATTTGTCTTTCCTGGATATCTCACATAAGTGGAGTCATACAACACGTGACCACTCCCTTAAAGCACTTCTCTGGTTCCCACGATGCCACCCTCTCCTGGTTTTACTCCTCTCCCTCTCTCTCTCTCTCACTTCTCCATCATCTCTATCAGGTTAGCTGATTTCATTCGTGCTTGAACATGATGATTCCCACGTCTCTACCTCCAACCTAGACCCCCTTCCTGAGCTCCAGATGCATATTTCCAACTGCATCTCTGGGGGGGTGTCCATGGGCCATTCAATCTCAAGTTCCTAGAACTGAGATCAGTACCTACTACTCCAAGCCCACTGGGCTGGGTTTCACATCTCAGGGAAAGGCACCACCACCCACTCTTTCCCCCACCTGGAGCCTAGGGCAGCCACTGTCCTTCACACCCTTTCTCTCACTTACATATCCAGTAAATAACCAACTCTGAAATACCTCCTAGATACCATATGCACCGAATATACATATTTCCTCCAAAGAAAACTTTAAAAAGTTTTTTTTTCTGAGAAGAGTTTACTTACATTTCAGTCCTTACAAATTGGGTTCTTCTCTCAACTTGTTTTGAACCAAAAAGCACTTTTTGGAGAAAAAACACATTATCCTGAAATGACCTCAGTCAAGCTGGTTTTGGACAATTATAAGTAGTCCCCTGACAAAATCAGTAAACGAGGCAAAGAAATTTACCACAGACTGAGTAATTATTTCTCACACTCCCAAGTACTACATATAAACAGGAGGCCTCTTCAAGATCACTTTAAATTGCAATATAGTGTTGATTTTTTTAGGTTTGAAAATGGTACTGCAGTTACATGTATTTATTTTTTAAAGATTCTTTTAGAAAAGCACTAAAGTATTTATAGATAACATTATAGAGTTAAAATTTGTGTCAAAATAATATGGAAGGGATTAGTGGGTAGAGTGGCCATCAGTTCATGGTTAAGCTGGCTGATGGGTACATATTCACTGTGCTATCCTGTCTCTAGTTACGTAACTTAGAAGTCTTCCATAACATTTTTAAAGCAATACAGTCAAGTGGTGGTTATGCATACCGTTAACGTACTATCTATGGGAGAAATGAAAAGAAACCTGTTTTAACGTTATACAGAAAGGTAATTATGCTTAGCTTAGAATATCCAGTGATAGCATCAAATATTGATTCAAAAAGTATTTTTCTCTGCAGCGATATGGATGATCCTCAAAAACATTATGCTGAACAGAGACACAAGAGTACATACTCCATGATTCCATTTACATGAAATTCTAGAATAGGCAAACCTAATTTGTAGTGACAGAAAGTGGACTAGTGATTGCCGGGTGGGGACGGGAGACTGTAAACAGGCAGCAAAAAACTTTCTGAGGTGACGGAAATGCTCTATTTCTTAAGTGGGTGGAGGTCACATGAGGATATACATCTGTCAAAGCTTACCAAACTTTACACTTAAAATGGGTGCATTTTATTATATGGAAGTTACTCCTCAATAAAGTTGATTTCTCCAAAGTGCTCTTTCTCAAACAGCTTAGAAGGCAGTGAAGATGATGTGCTTTCAGAAATTATATTTGATGACTCAAAAAGTGGCTCTAATGGTGACAGCTACATAGAAATCAAGATTCACGTAAAGAATTTGAACATAATTTATTACTGAAAAGGTGAGAGTCAGAGAAATCAATACTCATAAATTAATATAGTGTTTTAAATAGTATGGGGCTTAGAATATGTTTAAAATAAGTAAATAAACTGTTAAATGTGGGCATCTGAATTATGCATCTCTAAAAATATTTACATTTTAGTTGCAAAGAAAGCCACAAAACACCTAGAGTGACCTTACTGTGAAAACAAGTGATTGCCTTATATTTGGAGCTGCTGTATCTTCAGGTATAGCCCCCACTTTGCTCTGTCCCTACGGCCACCAACAGGTCCAGGTGAAATCAGCTGTCCTTTCCCAGTGCTCTAGGGGCCCTTATCACACTGAACTGTCAACTGTTGACAAATGTCTGTTGGCATTTCTCTCTCCACTACTGGACCGGGAACTTGGTTTGATTCATTCTGCTGTCTCACTGCTATAGAGCAGGCATCAGGAGTGTTTATTGGAAGAAAGGAAGAGAAAGTGGAAAATTCTGTCCTGTGCCAGTGGCTAAGCAAGGGCTCTCCCCTTCTCTGCCTTTCAGTGAAGCAATTACAGTAGCCCTACCACCTTCCTGAAGAAGGGACGTCTGCAGTCCAGCTTTCCTGCCTCAACATCTGGGTCCTAACAGAGGGGCCCAGTAGCAAAGGGGAAGCAGAGTCCCGGCCCAGTGTCTCTTGAGTAACAGGAAACACAAGGGGCTGAGCAGGAGAGGTGAGCAGGAGGATACGACCTTAAAAGTGTGATGCCCAAAGACGAAGGCAGAGCCATGGATGGATACTGGGGGCCAGAGCTCAAGAGCTAAAACCGCAGGTATGGGGTGGAGTTCAAGGTGCACTGAGGTGAGTGCTTATTAGGTACCAGCTGTATGCTTAGGCGTGGGCTGGCTGACTCAAACCCTTGAGAAGGGCTGGTCAGACATCCAACATAAGAAACTACTGAGCAAAAAATTAAAGAATAGTGTAAAGAAAAGAGATAAAGTTCTATGCATAGATCAAATTAGACAGTGCCGAGTCTATAAATCTGCCTACCTTCAACTGCAGAAGGGGCTTCACTCCTAAGCTATATTTTTATACCATCTATATTCACTCAAGGTCATTACAAGAACAATGAAAACTGTGCCAGCATTTGCTGTTAATCTGCTGAGAACATTCTCCAGTATTTCAATCAAGTAAGTGTCTATTTGAGAAACTTCTTTTATAATTTAACCCTAGAAAAATCTATCTCCCCCAAGGAATCAGTTCAAAGAGTTTTTGCTTTGGCTACCAGGAAGCTCAGCCATATTAACTGTCAATCACAGCAGCCATGCTAACTCATATTCCTTCTTATAACAGCACATCCCATTTCTACAGGACAACATTTTTGTCTTTTAAGTATTCTGAACATTTCTTAAAAGACTGAGAAAGAAGACATTTGTGGTGGGCACAGCAGTGTGCCACTCAGATTCCCCTTCAAGAAAGCACCTGTTAGCCCCCTAAGACACCTCAGCTGCAGACAGCTGTCTGGCCAAGACTGTGCTTTGCCCAGGACAGCCAACATCCAATGGCTGACTGAAGTGGTGCTATGAAGGCCCAGCCATATGAAGCTGGCACTGAACAAAAGAGCTCCCTGTGGGCTGGCTAAGGCTGCCATCAGGCCCGCAGCTTAACTTCTCCCTGTGCCCTCTCCTGTTTCTTTCCTCTCCCTTCGACAGGGTTGATTCCAAGGGCACTCCCTAAAAAACATTCCGCACACTAACCTCTGTCACAGAGCCTGCTTCCCAAAGAACCCACGCAGTGACAACATTTAACCAAATAACTAAAAATAGAAAACACATCAGGTATGGGTACTATAGAGGGGAAGAAAACACAATAAAATGGTCATACCTACGCAGAAGGCAACATAGCATGGACTCTGGTGCCAGGCCGCCTTGGTTTGAATCCCATCTCCGCCACCTCTTAGCTGTGCGTCCATGAGTATGTCTCTTAATCTCCCCATGCCTCCATTTTTCCATCTGTAACATGAGGACAGTAATAGTACTCACCTCACAGTGCTGTAATGAAGAGTAAACGGGGGTAAAACGGTTATACAGGGCTTACTATACGCCAAGTGTGATTCTGAGTGTTTGGTAAATAAAACAGACACCTGTGAGGTCAGGCCCACAGGGCCAGAGGGGTATCTGTCCTGGGACTCTGCCTCAGACTCCAAGCCCAGGTACTTGTATAAGACAGAGCATGTTGAAACATGAGTGTTGACAGAAATAGGCCCAAGCAGGGCTAGCCTGGATGATGTCACGGGCGTGTGCCTTGTGTGGGTGCTAAGCTGCTCCCTCCCAGCCAGTGCAGCTGCAGGCACTGCCAGTAACACCCACGTACCCAGATATATGCTGAGCTGGGGGAAGCCCATTCCAGTCACACCCTCTGCACGCCCTGCTTTTCCTGAACGTCCTTGGGTGGCGGGAGGCACCTGAGGCCTGGGGTGCTGGCTCAGAAGTCCCAGGAGAAAATGGGGCCCTATTTTCTGATTAAAGGCCTGGCAGCAGACTGGAAACATGAGCTCCTGTTGGCAGGGATTTCTGTAGCCCCTGGAGGCCCGGCCTCAGAGGCAAAAGCAAAAGCAAGGAAGCATGGGCTTACATGTCGGGAAGCTCTCAGAAAATGGAGAAATGGAGATTAAGAGTGCATCACCACCCCACAGACTGCCCAAGTTGGCCCAAGGAGTAAATGAGGGCTGCAGCACTCAGGAGGAGGCCTCCTGGAAAAAGGGACAGATCAGAGAAGCAGGGAGGGGCCCAACCTGTCCCCACCTGTCTTCTTGACCTCATCACCTCCCATGTTTCCCCCTCACTTAGTACACTGTAGCCTTCCTAAACTCACTAGGCTCTTTCTGGCCTCAGGACCTTTGTACATGCTGTTACTTCTGCCTAGAAAGTAAACTTTCCTCCAACCTACCCCTTAATAATTCACCCAGCCATCTACTTAGATCTTTTAGGCCTCTGCTGCATCCTGGAGAGGTCTTCCTTGTCTACTAGAACTGAAGTAGGTCTCCCTAATGTTTTCTCTTATAGCCTCTGTTCTTTTCCTCCATAGCTCCCATCACAATTTTCCCAACGTAACAGGGTGTTTATCTCACTAATGCCTGTGAATTCCTTCCTATAGGGCTGGTGCAGTTTCTCTTGTTCTCCTGACTCACTGATGCCTAGCACAGGGAAGCTCAAGCCTGCAGACAGGGGCAAGCACTACTTCAAGCCCCGGCCAGCCCAAGCCACACCCTGTGAGCACTCAGGTTCTGCCAAGTTTCCTGTGTCCAGGGCCAGCCATGCCTAGGGCCTCTCTAAACATATGCTCATTAGCCAGCTAGACTCCAGGCCCACTGACAATTGTCCATCAGGATCCACTGAAGCCAGGGGCTCGCCTGTGAGGCAGAAAATGCATGGCGTCAGAAAGACTTGAGTTCATATCCTCACTTGTTATTTATGTGACCTTGGGGCTAGCTGTAGAACTTCTCCCAATCTGTTTCCTGTCAGTAAATTGGGGACGATAATCCCTGATGAGAGGTTAATTGTGAGGATCAGGTGTGACCACATGTTGTAAAGCTTGCAGCGCTGGGCTGGGCATTGGGTCAACGTTCTTTCCCTCCCACCCACTTTAAAGGCCTGTCACTAGGTGGCAGTCCATCTCAGCCACTCTACCTCCCCTTGGGTGGCCGCAGCCTACTAGCGCAAATGTCTCAACTTCAGGCGGAATTCTCAGCTGCTTGGGGGCTACACTTGAGGTGATCAAACACACCAGACACACACACACACACACACACACACACACACACACACACACACACTCACTCTCTCTCTCTCTCTCTCTCTCTCTCTCTCTCTCTCTCTACCATTATAGCAAGACAAAGTCAAAGGCAGCCCCAGACACCAGTCATCACCCAGCTGGGGGGACTACCTGAGCACACACTGTTAATATATGTACTCACACATTCCTGGAAGCCTGGATCTCTCTAGCATCAGCTGGGTGCTCTGCTGGGCCTCTCAGCTCTGAACTGCAGAACACTGTCCTGCTCTGCCTGGCTCAACATCTGTCAGACAGGTTGCACTGTGACGGAAGGTATAGTTAATTCTGCAGCAGGGGCAGCTAGATTGCAGAGGTGCGTCTAAGGAATGACTGCAGGAAGATAAAGAGCAAGAATTATTCAAATAACCACCAAAGGGCATTGTGGCTGGAGAATGGAGTGAAGGCGAGGTGGTGAGAGATGAAGTGGGAGAGAGAAAGGGGACAGACTATGCAGGACCTGCTGGGCCAGGTCAGGAGAGTGCATTTTGTGTGCAGTGAGGAGTCATGGAGGGTTTGAGGCTGGAGGTAGGGAATCATGATTCAATTTCATTTTAAAGAGTAGAGCATGGAGAACAGATGCAAGCAAGACCAAGGAGGGTAAATAGTCTGGGTGAGAGAAGATGGGCCTTGAGCTCTTGGCAGAGTGCAGATGTCTGAAGGCAGAGTGAACCGGATTTGATGGGCTGATGTGGGGTTGAGACAGAGGAATCAAGGATATCTCCAACGGTTTTGGCCCAAGCACTTTAGAGGAGTTCAGTGTCATGTTCTGAGAAAGTAACTGTGGGCGAAGCCATTTGAGGAGGAGGTGAGATGTCTGTGTTACGTGAGGACACGGAGCAGGTGGTGGGATGCAGGAGAGATAACAGCTTTGCTGCTTAGGTTGGGGGAGGGGGGCGGTGTGGAGCCATGTGGGAAGGGTCAGGTCGCCTTGGGAACTGACTCAGGATCCAGCCCAAAGGAAGAGAAGCTTCTGAGGCCGAAAGGCAGCGGCCAGAGAGGGTGGAGGAAAACAAGGAGAGTCGTGACGTGAAAACCAAAGCTCCGGAGAGCATCTGCAGGAGGAGCGGTAAGGAAGGGCTTGAGCCCGCGCCTACCACATGGAGTCGGAGCGAGGGGTGGAGAGGACACTGGTCCAGCCGAGGGGCAGAGGCGAAGACTACTGGAGGCCTTGCAGGGGGTGCTCAGGCCTGAGGGGGCTACTCCGAGTGACGGAACCCTCCAAGGCCACACTGGCTGCAGGGGTACAACAAACCTGGGTCTGACAGTCACAGAAACCGCCCGCGGGCCGGCCCTGCACGACCAGAGAGGGGCGGGACAGGCCTGCTGTCCATCAGAGCCTGCCGACCAATCCGCGGGCGCCCCCGCCCCCGCCCCCTCCCCGGAGAGGGCGCGCAGAGAACCCGCCTCCGCCGCCGCCGCCGCCGCCGCCGCCGCCGCCGCGGGTGTGAGGCGGCCCGGCCTGGCCTGGTTCCCTCCGCCGGGCAGCCCGCCCAGGTACTGGGTTTGGCCCGCGGGCCCGGCGGGGCGCTCTGCACCCTCACCTCTCCTCGCGGTCGCTGTGCGGGAGGCGCTCGAGGAGCGGGCTTGAGGAAACTGCTGCGGCCAGGCCTGTGCGGGACAGTGGGCTGAGCAGCCGCCTGTGCGTGTGCAACTGACGGCCGGGCAGGCGCGAGGCTGCCGTGCGTGACGGGGGCGGCCGTGGACGCCGGACTGTGTCCGCGGCCGCGTGAGAAAGCTCTGCGGGACGGAGGGACTGGCCGGTTGACCGCGGGCGGCGCGTGCGCCCCGGCCCGGGGCCTGTCCGGGG